ACTAGCTCATAGACTAATAGTATTCAATCATCAAAACAAATTTAACCGGGTTTCAGATTTCCCTGCTAATGTTGACTATGAGTATTTACCAATACTAAGGCCTCTGCAGGTATATTCCGCAAGAACTTTGAGCTGTCGCCATTTTGTAACGGATGAACCTTTTTTGACGCGGTTTCCGGTAATGAACTCCACTTAACCAGACCTTTAAAATGATGTGCATATCAACCTATGCTTACTTTAAAGATTATGTACTTACTCCTCGTGGGCCGTCCCCTGGTGAAGGTCAAATAATGGCAATGATTGCAAAAAGTAGTTTTCATACATATAAGTTGATGTGAAAGGTTTGAATTTTCTAACGAATTTAGTTAAAAAGATATTAAACCGTTTCCAGACTTTTTTGTCACCCTGTATATATATGAATTTGAACGAATGGTGTTTTTGGCCTCTAGGGACCTCAAAACGAAAAAAAAATCGGTCCCGGGTCCAGGTCTTACCATGAGTACTACGGTAATAGCTTATTCCCTATATGGGAAATTCGCTAAAAAATATTTGGAGGTTATAAAGCCTAAATATTAAGTGAAAACTAACTGACATAAACACGTGAATAGTTACGATTAAAGGCAGGATTTTCTCGAAAATTCACGAAAACGATTTTGATAAAAATTTTGTATGTTGTAGCCCTTTAAATTCTGAACAAAATGGTATGACTCTTATTTCTGAAAAAATTCTGGTTCAAAAGTTATTGTAAATTATGTTATTTTATTCGTTGGCACCACAAACTCTTCATATACATGAGGATTGGTTAGCAATAATGAATGGCTTAGGGAAACAACTCTCATAATATATCCTAACTGATGCAACGTGCCCTTAAAGGGGTCAGGCGCGCTAAAGGTACTTAAACACCAGAGATGGGCTAAAAAATGAATGTATCTAAAGACTAATTTATTTAATTTATTATCAAAATATTCTGTGCTTATTTTATTTGCCCCTACTTTTGTGGTATTTGTATTTCTTAGGAACAGCTTAAAATGTATTGAGTTGCAACATCAATCTTGGTCGTTGTTTGACCAATACAGTATTCTATGTGTTTTCTAAGCAATACAGGTGTCCGCACGACTGTCCCTCGCTGAATGCTGATGCGGGCGCTGATGACATTCTGACGACCTCTAAGTGTTTCTTGCACAATCATATTTCAAAAGTTACTTTAAGTAACAGTTACTTAAAACAAGTATAGATATTACTAATCGTACGTATCGTAATATTATTAAAATTATAGAAAGGTGCATCTAATACAAATGTACTGAATGTTTAAAATCGTACAACATATCGTACTACATAGTTTGAAAAAAAATATTTTCTTCAGTGTATGTGTTCTTTAAATATATTTTATTTTATTCGTGTGCAATTTATTAACATTCCTTGTCTTGGCAAAATAGTTGGATATCTTACACCTACCGTCACCCTGAATTAAGTTGCGTGCTTGTTAAAAAAGTAAAATCTAGAAGTATGGATGGTAAAAGATATCTTGTAGTTATTCACAATACCTAACCTTTCTAGAAAATTATAATTTTCCCTTATATATGTAAAATATTTGGTCTCATAACAATTGTAAACGCACTATATCATTCAAGTCCAATTTAACAGAATTCAATAGTTAACACTTATACAAGGTCAAATCAAGGTTTAATGTTTATAACTAATGAAACGATTAAAGGCAAAGTTAATTGCATGGCTAGACAGGTATAATGCTCAACTAGTAGGCTATAAATCTACCTCCGCAACGACCCCTAAACTCTACGATATATCGTTACATTACAACCTCATTGTTGTCACTATTGCAATGTAACCAAAGCGTTTCTCATTATGACTTGTATATTGTTGTTTTGTTGTATGACTTAATCCCCTTTGATGACAATTGTTAGCACCTGATATTTAAAAACGTCTCACCATGCCAACGAAAAAGATTCCATGGTAAAGTATTTGTTTAGAATACGTAAAAGTTATAAAACATATTCTGACATCAGGTTCAAGAATTTCATTCTTTCTTTATAATTTTACCCATTTAGGTTAGGATCAACTTAAAAACAAACTCTGACCAAAAAAGTGTAGCCAATAACATTTTAATCAACAAAAAAGTATACCTAATTATGTTTTTTACATTTTTGTAAATAGTAATATATGCAACAAAAATAATAATGATTAAACTTACTCAAATGTGTTCACCAAAACTCATGGCGTATAAACTCGTATATTTATCGCTAAATGAATCACATGTCTTTACAATATTTTTACCTCACTAGGATTTCATCAATACGCCATTTTATGATAAGTTTATATGTATTTCCTCCCTCTCGCTATACATTTATGAATACTAATTCCACTTCTACAAATGCCTTTATCTAGCCCTATATCGCTAGGTCCTGGAGTTGTTCCTCCACATCGTACTGTAGGCTATATATGCCACTCCCTATATATCTATCTATTTATACTATTATAAAACTGAGGTGGTGTCTGTCTGTCTGCCACGACTACAATACTACACCGATACTGCCTAAATTAAGCACAAAGATAGTCCACATATCTAGAAATGTCATAGGCCTATTCACTTCCCTAAGTCCCTCTCGGGCTACGCCCCTTGGACGTCCAAAGTTTCAAGGTTAGGTTTCCAAAGTAAATATAGATTTTTCTCCATGGAAGCATGAGAAAACTCAAATGTTTATCTGTGTCTTGAAATTTACTAGGTACTGTCGTTGATTATGGAAATAAAAACATATTATATAACTGTGGCTGTATCAACCCAGAGATAGTATTAACTAGGCTATCAAGATATGTTATGATGTAAAGGGGACACCCGTTCTTCGAGACTGAATTTTCTTCCCGTAGGTAGTATCATTAAGTAGTACATTAACTCTAATTCTACATCTGCCTCTAACTATTTCCTTTAAATACTAACATCCCACCAATATGCCTCTACCTACATCCCTAATTCCTGGAGAATAACTCCACGGTACTTTGGTATTATACCAACCCCACTGATAAATCAATTTCCATATAAGATTTTAATTGGTTTAAATAACAAAATCTTTCTAATATAACTAACCTAACCTAAAACAAAATCTACCCTTAGGTAAGGTTAGGTTATGCAATAATTATTAGGTGTTGTCGGTGTAAGTACCAACTCCACTTCTACCTATGCATTTTCTTTTGATTTTGACCATATTTCAACTCCACCTTTACCCTCAAGGTCCAGCTAACGAATCTCCTAAGTTAAATCTATTTTGAAAAATAACTAACAAGATAACAGATTATCTCTAAACTCCAAAACGGTTTGACTGATTTCAGGTAATCCAAAACAAAAGGAACTGTAATAAAAAAATAGTTTTATTGATCATAAAATATACATCAATATCAGCAGGAGTAATGCATTTATTATTTCAAAAACTAATAATACTTCCTTACAAAATAAGCGTATACAACAGATACAAATTAGTTATCACAATAAAAAACATTAATTACATTACAAATATTGTAATCAACGAAGGGAGTTTGAAATATTTACATTCCACATTCATTCGAGGCTTACTCATCATTTGGTCACATTTATATACGTATATGTTGTTAGAGGTAAACTAAAGTACATTCACTCCTTTAAGTTTGAGCATTGTTTATCTTAAAATTAAACATTTCAACGTTCATATTAACAAATAATTAAAAAACAACTAACACGTATAATTTGAGTAAAACACTTGTTCATAATAGATAATATCTAGGAAACAGCATTGCATAAATTAAATTTGTACGATTTCATACTCATTTTAACTTAAAAATATTGTACTAAATATAATTTAAAAAATACTTACTAAACAAAATTCAAGATGTACATACTAATGCAGAAAATAAAGATTGTATACGAAACTATTTTACATTTGTTCAGAAAATAATCTAAATATTAAAATACTTATATCGTTTTATCTACAATAGCATCTAAACAGTTGTAAAAAATACTTAACACCATAAACAATCAAAAACAAATCCAACAATATTGATATCTTCCACTTCTTTTAAAAGCCCATCTTAGATGAAAATAAAAGAATAATATTGTAGAATTTGCTTGATACTTTTTCAACCAATTGTGCATCGCTGACGCTTGGCGAGGCTAAACCAATCAATGTAATACTACAAATAAATATACTGTATTTGAATTTGAATTGTGTATAATACTGATTGGATATTAATAACTAAAGTAAATAATAAATAATTATCTTTCTATAAATTAATCAGTAAATAATTAGAGAATTCAGTAAGTAATAAAACTAAACGAACGTCAAAATGATCAGTTTACAAAGAAAGTAACACAATTCGTTATTTTTTTATATTTTAGAACATATTCAATACTTTTAGTAAAGTTTCCTTAATTGTTGTGCAACCTTAATACAGCTGCCATTAGGTTTATTTTTAAATTATATAGAACATGTTTAAACTTAGACTATGGTTAGAAGTATACATCACATTGCGATGTGAAAGCTGTATGTGGCCAGTCTTAAAATATCAATTTACAGAGTTTAGTTGAGATACCGACAGTTTGTGCTGTTGTCAATTACGTAATACAGACGAACTCAAAAATATTTCACTTATCCGAATAGCAGCTTATAGTAATGGGTTTCACCTTGTATCTGTCATAATCTGATATAGCATAGTAAACTAAGGGAAGACACAGAATTAAACCATAGGATAGTCTAAAGCCGATTAGACTAGGTTCTATTACAATAAATATTGGGTACAAGTAATAAATGAGTTAGAATTTACCACCCAAAGTTGATGACTGAACATATTAACGATTCAGAAACATTTTATAATACAACCACACATATTTGGGATATTATTTAGAAAATAATTTAAAATCTAGATGGCCTCGGCTGTATTATAAATGTAACATCCAGTTGAATTGTTCTAACTCAACTTGGAGTTAAAATTAACTGTATATTTTGATTAAACACGTCAGTATTAATATTATAAGATAAGGGCAATCCTGAGCTTATTTTTACCAAATTGTGAACGTAAGATAAGTTTATTATGAGTATATATCTTTGTTACTGCCAAGATATTTTTCTATAGCCAGAATAATTAATTACAACCCCTATGGTTGAATAAAACTAGGTACAGTTTCTACCTTTCAAGCGTAGCGGAGACCATCTACGTTTAGATTGTTTCAAAAATGGTTTATAGTGGAGATAGTAAAAAAACGAAAAGTTGTTAGCTGCAAAAAACATGTCTTAATCTCCCTCGTATATAGCAATACTTTACTTTCTTCAGCTGACCAGGAAATGGGGTCCTCAATGGTACATGGTTTTCACCAGTCCATACCAACTCTATCTCCCTTCCTTTGAACTTTCACAGTAAACTTAGTGTCAATCGGAGTAATAAATAAGTCATAAGGGTTTCCGTGTGAAGGTTGAGGCGGAACATTACAAAGGTGGAAGATCTTCGTCAGAAACCTAAGGGAAGTTCAACATGGCGAAGGTAGAGTACGATTCATCGAGCGCCTCCTGTGACTCTTCCTGCGGCGAATGTGTCCAGCGGCGCCTGTCATGGCGTCACATGTTGTCTGTGACTCCGCCGTTCATGAATGTGGTGACAGTACACTCTGCGGTGTTGCCTGGACGTCGTACCGTGCTGTGGTGCAGGTGGAGGGTGGTGGAGTCCCACTTCCTAGTCCCGGTGTGTCTACGCTGGCTGGAGCGTCCACGATGAACCGCGGTATGCTTCCAGCAGCAGAATAGGTAGCGGTCGAAGTGTTTCCTAAACGTACCCGTCACGCAGTACAGAGCTATAGGGTTGATACAAGAGTTGACAAACGTCAGACAAAACCCTACTATCCTCAAGTGGTGCCAGAACGCGTTGTAGTTCTGCTCGGGGTTTTTTGAGAACCAGTAGAACCAGAGGAAGAATACGTGGTTAGGGAAGAAACACACTGCGAAGATGATAACGAAAGCTAATACAGTCTTGGCTACTTTTTTTCTCCCCTTGATTTGTCTCGCTTGGTGGGGCTGCAGCCCACCTGGAATATTCTTCGTGCTAATTATCAAGTGGCGAGCTATCATTATGTAGAAGAATGCGATAATACTGAGTGGTACGGTGTAATGGATGAGGAACCTCGCTAGGATGACTCCCTTGGCGTAACCTATCCCGTACTCTTCGGGGAAAGGATAGCAAATAACGATCGAAGTATCGTTTTCCCTCACTTCTCGGACGTAAGCTCCAAACGCAGCAGGTAGTGAAAAGAAGATGGCGAGACCCCAAATAGCTAAAGCTACTCTGGTAGCTCCTCTCACACCCAGATAGGAGAGCTGTTTACGAATCGGGTCGACAATCGCGAAAAACCTCTCCGCCGAGAGAGCTGTCAATGTGAAGACAGAAACTCCAATTGATATGTCTTTCGAGGTCTCCGATAACTTGCATACAATCTCTCCGAATGGCCAGCTGGGAACTGTGTAGATAATTGAGGTGAAAGGAACGCAGCTGATGATCACTAGAAGATCTCCTATAGCTAGACTGAAGATGTAAGTGTTTGGAACGCTTCTCATTTTCTTGTGTCGGATGAATATGATTACCACGGTTCCGTTTCCCACAACACCGACTAGGAAGATGATTGCAAACAAGACGGGAACGTAGTAAGTCTCTGGTCTCTCCTCGTACGGTGGTATATCCAAGGCTGAATTGTTGACGATCCCAGCGGATGTAGCGTTGAAGAAAGCTTCTTCTTCTGCGCTGATGTTTAACATTGTGTTATCCCGCTTTAGTTTTACGTCGGTTTAAAACTGCCACTGCATCTTTTTTTGTATTCGCTGTGGTTTTTGGCTTTGGAGATGGCTACGCACTATCACTGGTTTAAATTTCTTCGCTGCAATTTATGTTTCAAATCGAGTTTTCTTCATTTTGGACAATCGAAGGATATTCTTGCAAGTCATTGAACCCTCTTAAAGCCACCTGCAACAAAAGAAAAGTGTTATTTAAACTGTTAGATTTAGATGATAAATACATTTATTAATTTTTAGCAATATTTACAGTATACCGTTTTAATTGCATTTAGTCTTCTACGCTTTTCTCTTTCTACTCGTAAACGTTGCCAAAATGTCGTGAAACTCAACAAGGTTGTCAATTGACACCTTCGACCACCAAAAATTAATTTCAAGCTAATTATTTTCAGTAATTTTGAGTTGTATACGATTTTTCGTTGAAATTTAATCATAAAATAGAACCCGTAACCAAAGTTTTTGAAAAAATATTTTTCTAACTTTTGAAGTTTAAAATCCATTGAAATATTTCAATCATACACTATCCAGAGAGAGGGTTAAGATCTTTAAGAGTCCTAGGAGGCGGCCATCTTGGATAGTTTCAAACAGCTGCTGAAGAGTTAATTATGATCCAAAAATATTTTTTAAAACACCAATGCAATTATAATTTAAATAAAACATTAATTGTCTGTTGTTTTGAATTGATTTCCAAGGGAGTTCATGAAAGCCAACGGCCATCTTGGATTTTCCCGCCATAAGGGCAATGTTAATTTCGTTATTTTTAAACAGCCGCTAAAGAGTTATTTACCATCTCAGAATATTTTTGCAAATACCAAAGTGATTGTAATTTAAATATCTAGTATACTGTGAGATTTAAAATTTATTTGCTTTGTATTTCTTGAATTGTTTTATGACATAGAATGTATATGCGCTCCAAGGACTCTTCATACTAATCGACCTTTCCTGACTACAACACAAATGTTGAGCCATTACTTGAGATAACAATGCGCTGCCGGTGTGCCTTTGACATTATAAAGACCTGTAAATATTTGGTTTCCTTGAATAAACGTTGGCTAACGCTGTAGAAGAAACCGGTATCGTCAACAACGTTGTTGCATCTTTAACATCAATCTATTTTGCAAGGGTTTCTCCCGAGACATGTATTACGATTTTTATTATATCTGAGCACGTACTAGCGTTATCTGTATTCGTACTAGTCAACTTGGATTGTAAGTAATCAAATAGTATTAGGGTTATTATTCATTGATAAATTGAATGTAGTTTCTTGTTTGGAGCTAATTTCCTTAAATTCGTGGGATTATTGCAAACACGTTTTACTGTACCCTTAACTATGGCACAAGAGATCCCATTCCATGCTAAAGTTTTCGCCAGTTTGATTATGAGAATAGACGTGAATGCGCTGATTTTTATCAATGACTGTTGCGTAAACCAACTTTTTACCAAGCATAACTGAAATTACAACTAATTGTAATTGTAATTGTAAGCCATAGCATCCTGTATGCCACACGAATCATCATATCATCGATGGATAAAATAAGAAAGGATTAAAAATAAAATCAGAGAGAAATAATAATATTTACCGCTGCACAATCAATCTGGCTCGTTCAACTACGTTCTACTTAAATAATAACATTAATAATTTAATTAATGATAAATGATAATTAAATGATAAATAATAATAAAATGATAAATGATAATTGAATGATAAATGATAATTAAAAGATTAATGATAATTAAATTATTAATGATAATTAAATGATAAAACTACAGTGGATCCATACTGATAAGATGTTTACTGTAGTATCTAAAATGCAGTTGTACCACTGTTCAAACTAACTGTTGTTTTTCTTTGTAATTATTCTCATACTTTGACTAATATCTTTGACTATCCAATAGTCAATGCTAATATGCAGTTCAATTTATTATTTTGAGCTTTGGATGGATTCGTGAAGGCCTACTAAACTTTTTATAATGTAGGTACACTTAAGTGAGGACAATTAATATCTAATTGCGAATTCTTACGTCTGATACAAACCTTTTTTTATAATCATGATTTTTGTATATCCATAATAACCTCAAAATAACGATCATAGTTCATTATTGAGTTGATGTTAAATTAAGAGGAAAAGAGAATTGCCTGATGATCCTATTAACTATGGATTGGGAAATAATATTTTTTTACAATAGTAGAATCAAATATTTGTATTATTTAAACGAAGCTATTAAGGATTCTGTTTCTTAAATAATTTTAAATTTATGGGTTTCAAACAATTAAAAACTATTTAGAACTTGAAGTCCAATTCATGCAACAAAACCAACTTAGCAACACACGATGATTGTGTATTGGGAACGGTTGACCACTTGGAATATCACAGCTGTCATATACAGCTATTGTTTAACCTATCTCTCGTATTGTATTATAATTGAGTATGCCTGCGCGGTATTGAGTTTAAATTAATTTAATAAACGTATACATAGTATAATATTGATGTCTTAATCTGTCTACCAAAAAATATTGTGTTTCACAACGCAAGAAATTGAAATATTCTTTTTAGTAATATGACAGGAAAACACCACGCCTTATCGTACTCTTTTGGCAATGCTTGTGGATTTTAGTGAGTCGTACGAGTAATAACATTTACAAAAATTACATTCGGCCTACAATATTTCAGTAACTATGTTGGTTTTGAATTCAATCATAAAATCGATTATTTATCAACTTGGTCATTTTGTAAGTGTTGGAAGTTCTCTGAACACTATTGCTGCCTGCCTCTTGTACATAAATCATATGTTTTATTATATTGTAAATACTCTACTTACATTTTGTTTACATTTTATCAGGTAAATCATGTTCATTAAACCATTTCTTGAATTTTATCTTCTTTGTTATATCAGTTGTTACTATCTTTCATTAACAGTAAGTATCTAACTATAAATGAGAACAAAAAAAAGTTTCAAGACGTAAAGGATGTCTACTTTCAAATTTTCCAAGTGAAATACTTGACATGTTTGAGACAATTTAGAATATCGTTAATTTGTGTTTACTAAGTTGATAAAAACTCTAAGTAAAGCTGACTATGCTGCTTTTATGCACTTTTATTTTCATAGGACATTTATGAAAATCATTATTTTTCGAATGGCTTTCAGTATAAGATGTTCTTTAATACATGTAAAATTATGCGTCTTTAATCTCTTTTTGTTTTCTAAGATTATAGCTATCTACAGCGTAAAAGCGCTTCTAACCACGGGACCATGGTTAATACATGCTCCCGATTTTATATTATTGTTGATGTTTGATGTCTATTCTTTTTAATACTCCTTGGGCTACCGATTCTATATTTCAGTTTTTTTACCTGCCATCCATAGCAGACATTTCGGGTAAGTTATTCCAGTGAAGTTGTAGCACATCATTAGAAGTTTTTAATGGAACTGTAGAGAAATGAATCCATGTGTTTCGAAATACCTGGAAGGAGTGTCTACTCCTTTTATTTATGATACTGTATAGTGATCACCTGTTAGTCAGTGGTATTTTCCATTTGTATAAGAATTAACAGCATTATTACGTGCCATATCTTTATTACCATATTCATATTTTCAAGTTATTTTGCATACATTGTGTGTGAGATTTCAAATTAAATGTTTTAAAAACACGGATAAAAACACCATTATGGATCTGCCATTCTTATTGTTCAGCAATGTTTTTCAAAATTATTTACATTGTTCAGTCATTTAAAAAAAAATGTATTTTAATTCGTTTTAGGTCTCAAAATTTCTTGATTATTTAGTAACTCAATAGCTATTTACAAAAACTCAGATGTCTAACGTTTGCTCATCCTCTGGTAGTAAAACATAATAAAACATAACTATAAAATTGAATTTAAAACAAATCAAACACCTTATGTCGATGTCGGTATTTTCTTAGACCTGTAGTATTGAAACAAAAACACCCTACTTATCCTATCAGTCTTCATTTGAGCTTTTTTTGATCGATGTGGTATTACCTCTTGGACATTATTACCGCCTAAATACATATTACTGTTGAAAGACATTTTTAATGTGGCTTGTGTCACTAAATCAGACCATTATAAGGTCGACAGACTGTTGAATACTTTAATGCTTGAAAAAGCATGTAGTTGCTCATGTAATGTATAAAGCTATGGTTATCAAAGTCGCCATGGGTATTAGATGACATGTCAAGATGTGTCCTATGTTCATGTTTCTTTGGCGCGATGGAGCTGACGGGGCAACTACAAGGCTTCCATGCTGTTGTGTCTGGAGACTTTGATCACTTGATTCTACATGGTGTTGTATGTAATCATTAAAGTAAATTAAAACTCATCTTGTATCCTCTGATATTATTATTAGGTACATACCTTTAAGTCAACAGTTCAACAAAGTAAGTCGAATTCAATATGATTATTTTAATGTAATTGCCGAGTCTATAATTGGGTTAAACATTCTTGGAAATATCACAATGCCTGAATAGGTTAAACATGTCTTAAATTTGACACTACTATGTTGAACTGCTGACGTGTAGGATTGTACCTATAATAGTTATCCATTAAAGGTAAATGAACAGGTCAAATAGATTCAGGATTCAATTGAACCACTAGATAACACTTAGAGCTAGCCGAGTAGCTGATTGGTTATATTACTCGGTAAGTAAGCATTTGATTGATGGTTTTGACTGGATGAGCTGTTTTTAAATAACTGTCAGGCAGTTTCAAAAAGTGACAATTGTGTTACAAGTTTCGGTGAGATGCCATTGTGAAACAAATCAGTCTTAAAAATACATTAGTTCCAATAGATTAACTTTGCGGACAGAAATAAACCGTTTTTTCCAACTTATCTTTTGGATACGTTCAATAAGAGAGTTTTAAGAGACCTAAATAATTGGTTTTATTAGAAGGCCTGCTATTGTTATTTATTCATTTGTTTTTAATTTTTTTTAATGAATCTGATTGGAGTATTACTAAACATTTAAATGTGACCAAATAAATGTTGGTGTCTTTAGATACGTATAAAAGATGTATGAACATTTCAATTGTAAGTACAATAAGCCTTGTATTTCCAAACAAACTACTATTTATGAGACTTTGTTAGTTTATTACTGATATACACTTAAATTATATTTTCCAATTTTGTAATAATTTTGTATTCTTTCTTCGAAGTTATGTATTTATTACTGATTGTTTTTTTTTATTTTTTTTGACAAAAACGTGATTTGGAACAAATTTAATAATAACACTCATATCTTTCAATAGAAACCGACATTTATATGGCAAACCCATAAATACGAAAAGGACTATTTCAAACGCACTATAACAAACTCATTATTTAAGCTATTAAGATAATAATTGCGAATTTTAGGTTGGATGATTTATTAAACAACGACAAAAGCAATTTACGTGCATAATGAGGTAATGTATGTGTTTATCCAACTATTAATAACCCAACTTGTTTTTATTGACTAGTTGAGCTGTTTTGAAAGAAAATGCAACAAGTTATCCAAGCTTTGACTAAAATAACTGTCAAGCTTAACCTTGTTTAGATAATTTCATCATACAATCATTCTCTCCACGGATGAGACTTATGAGAATATCGTACTTTTTTATCCATCGCACGCATCTTCTTTGAGAAGTGTCGTCATGAACAATTTGCATTGCCATATTTGTAAAATATAAAACCATTTAAAACTTTATTTTCATAAACGCCAAATATAATTTGAAACTTGAGAAACCTTTTTTCAAAAATTTTGACTTCAGAAGTAGTATTCGACTTCAGAATTTTTTTTCTGAATTTAATATCAACTTTTGCTGTTTCATATAGTATAAAAACTTCTAATATATTCTTTGATTTCAAATTTTAGTTAAAAATAAAATTGGGATACAGTACTTAGAAATGTACAATGAAAGATTTACTTTTAGAAGTCTGAAAATTTAGAGTTTTGTTACTTAACAAGAATCATTTGACAGAGTAGGTCACATAACTATTTTAACATTAACAATTATTATACTTATTTTATCACTGAAGACCAGTTAAAACACAACACACACTTGATTGTTTGATTGTGTAATTGCTTTATTAGGATCTACATAATGTACCTACATTAGGGAATTAAAGAAATCAAAATATTAGAATAAAGAACTTTGTAATTAGACACAACATAAAAGTTCTTAAAACTAAAATATCTACTACTTAAAACAAAGGGCTTTAATTTTAAAAATACAAAACATTATAAACTAACATATTACAAAGACGGTAAAAAATGTGCATCACAGATTCTTTGGCATTACCAAATCTTAAAGCCAAAAAGTATTATGACAAAATGTTACTAAATGTTGTAGAGTATTCTAAGGGTTCTCTAGTATTCTAATGATTTATACAGTAAACTTGTAATTTTGTCCAAACTTATGTACAGGTTTGTCATTTTCAAACAAAAATGCATACTCACATTTCCTACATTGAAACTTGTAGGCCAAATGGAACAGCCTTTACAGGAATCTTGTCAAGATAAACCAATTTTTAAAATGTTTTTAATTGTTTGAAGATAATTTTTTGTTTTTGTTTTAATCGTCTTAGTTTTTACAGAATTTCAAGGAAAATAATAGTAAAACAGACAAGTATAGTTAAATTAGCAATAGTTAAATCAATAGTCATCATAGGTAAATTAGCTATAGAATGTTTTCCCGTATTATTTCTGACTATTTCATAAATTGAATACAATTTGTTTGCTTTTATGTAAGCAAGAATACTAATTGGACAATTTTGTACTATACTTCGAACGAGTTGATGTCTACGATTCTTATCTTCGCTGAACCAAGCGCTGGTTCTCTTTCAACTAAAAGAAAACCTGCGGGGGAAATTACCTCACTCCAATCATGTTTATGTGATCAAACACCATTGAACATTCCAAATAAAAATTAACGAAAATCCAAAATCGAGCTAATTTTTATTTGGGTGCATTAAACTAATGCTCGCTATTCATCCTGACTTACAAACACTCGTTAATGTTTGGCACTTGAAGAGAAATAGTTCTGTATAATCAAAGCTTTTATCAAAATACTTCCTAAACATGCCCTGAAATCTGTACACAAAATATCACTTTAAAATGAACAATCTCATACAGTAGCCTTACTAGCATAACTACTTAAGCAAGACTTAATGAATTATTTCAGCCAACAGAACAAGCACAAAAAAGTATGCTTATGTTCTCATGTTAGTTACGGTAATAATTAATTAAACATTAAAAGTCGATTATAACAAATCAAACAATTGAAGTACATTTAAAACAGAGCTTCATGCCTAACGCCAGTGCAATTAAACTATTTACACTTTTTATCTTGACTCACAAAACTATGGTTTATGTATTGGTTTGACCGTTGGTATGAATAAATAAATATTAAATAAATAAATATAAACTGAAATACAATGTGTACAAAAAGATGAAACTTTCAATATTCAATTATATTATCAATATACATCCTCAATTCACCTTGGTTTCTGTTTAATTCTCCGACTGTTTAGGTCTTGCTACTTGCTTGATCAATCTAATTGACTAACAACCTACTTAAAAATAACACAGAGGATCTTAAATCTTATAATTTACGAATATATTAGATATATTAGAGTTTACAGCATTGTTCTCAAAAAGTCTCTTTTTCAGACCACACGTCACATAACTTTGTCCTTGGCACTGGTCCCTTGACGGAAGCTTCAATAACTTCTTGTTGACCAACTCGTTGTCCTTGAGTTTGTAAGTCTCCGGCTGCTGGAACGTTCTTGACTACTACTTGGGTCTTGTCTACAACGGAGGTATCGGTTGAAGTGCTTTCCGAAAGTCCCTGTGTCATACAAGATAAAAGGGTTGACAAAGGAGTTTGCAAAAGTGAGGCAGAAACCAATTATCCTCAAATAGTGCCAGAATTTGTTGTAGTTTCTCATGGGGTTTTCGGAAAACCAGTAAAACCACAGTAGAAACACGTGATGGGGTAGTAAAAAGACAGCGAAAATTAAAACATAGACTAACACTTTCTTCGCTGTTTTTCTTCTCTCCTTGATTAGCCTCGCTTGGTGAGGCTGCAGCCCACCTGGGAATAGGGAAATATTCCTGGTGCTGATTATTAACTGGCGAGCGATCATGATGTATACGATTGCGATTGTACTGAATGGAATTACGTAATGGATGAGAAACTTGGCGAGAACTACACCCTTCGCGTAAGCCAATCCGTACTCCGCCGGGTATGGGTAGCAAATCACCGCTGAAGGATTTGAATTGATCACTCTGAGGTGGGCACCGATCGCAGAAGGCACAGAGACAAATATAGCGAGTCCCCAGATCGCTAAGACTGTTCTGGTAGACTGAGACAATGTCTCCTCTGAGACTCTTTGTCTGATAGGGTGTTTTATCGGGATATATCTTCTTGCAGAGAGAGCAGCCAAGGTAAATACAGATACACCAATGAATATATCTTTTGTGGTCATCGACAATTTACAAAGGAACGTCCCAAATGGCCAATACTTCACAGTGTACAGTATAGAGGTGAATGGAACACAGGTGATGATCACAAGTAAATCCGCTAAAGCTAGACTGAAGATGTAAGTGTTAGAGCTAGATCTCATGGTCTTATGACGGAGAAAGGTGATCACTATGATTCCGTTTCCAACGACTCCCAAGATGAATATGATGGCAAACAATACAGGGACATAGTAAGTCTCGGGTCTTTCTTCGTAAGGCGGGAATGCCGTGGCAGGTTTTCCTGTGCCCTCATGTTCACAAATATTGTATTTGGTATGAGTGTACATGTCTGATTTAATTCACCTTAGAATCTCATCATATCGGGCTGTGATTTTCCAAGGTGTTTACTATACAGACGGGGTAGAAGCTTGGGACGTCATCTTCTTCAAATGAGTCAAACGAACATAAGCTTTTGGAGATTCGCCTGTTACAAACATATTTTGGTATTAACAACAGATATTTTTATGGGTATGCAATCAAATTTAAATTTCACAAAGAAAGAAATTTTTTTCAAAACATTTTCTTTTTTTACTATGTCATGTGAAACCATTCAATTCTAAGAACTAAATTGAAAAGGCTGGTTTTAAAACAGTCAAATGTAAAAATAATAAGTTAACAAGAAAGCCGCTATATTATTTAGGAAGAGGTATTGTAAAAAGTGATGTTACAAGTAAACAACATATTTTTCAGTACTGTTGTATTTATATAAGCTGTACTAAGTTTTGTTTACCTGTATACCACTAAAAATATAAATACCCCCATCGTAGCAAACCTTCTTACTAAGAGAATTTCTATTTTCTTGATTAAATTCACTTAAATATATTAAAAATGACATTAGGGTAAACGAGTACCTACATTTGTTGCTACAAGGAGGGTTATAAAGTGTGTTTTTTAGTTAAATATCAATTGCTTAGTATAAAATCAAAACATTTGTCAAGTTTGTTCAAAATTAATATACATAAACAAGCAAAGGATATACATGATTAAAAAAGTACCAAATTTCATCAAAATTGGATCATTTTTGCTCGAGTTATCGCGCTAACGGGTGGTGTTTTTGGCCTCTGGGGACATCAAAACGAAAAAGTAAATCGGTCCCGTGTCCAGGTCTTACCACGATACTAACAATAATAGCTTATAATAGCTCTATGTAGAAAATTCGCTAAAGGGTCAGAACAATTTGTCATAATAATGGCGTAATAGTATTCGTACATATTATAACCATTGTACTGAAGCAGACGTTCCGCCTGTCGAGTTAGACCAGCAGAATTAAATTCTTTTAGCCACAAATAACGTAGTAAATCCTCCCCAGAACGTCAAACTACTGATGTAATCTTTTCTCTTGTACTATTTAACGGATACTATAATCGTTGAGTATGAGTTTAAAACAAGCCCTTAGTAGTACCCAATATTACCTAAGCATGAGTATACAGTTTTCTTTCATAATGGATAATGTCAATTAATATTTCACAGCAAAATACCCTATCTAAAGAAAATTGAACCACATACGTTTTTTATATATTATAAAATCGTAATTATTGTCTGCTTTAAAGTTAGTAGTGTACGAAGCTTTAATTTTATAAAAGAGACGACGAATACTAAAAGAATACTCGTATGGGTCATAAACATAAACAAATTACGTTTTTGGCCCGAGTCCTATACTAAATAGCATTAAAATATTTAGAGAGTTCCATTTAAACAATGTTAAAATAATGTTTACTTTTGGGCCAAAAACGTCATTTGTTTATGTTTATGATCCGTACCGGGTCTTTTCTAGTATTCGTGATAGAGACAATATTGCACTTATCCACTTATAATGTAAAAGTAGTGAAGTGGTTGTTTAGCACATCTTCCAAAGAAAGTTGCCACAATATTTACACGATGTTTCGGAATCAATTCCACTGTCGACTGCATATTTTGACAAAACTCTCCCTCCAAAATGCCTTATGGTTCCGTATGTTGCTCCAATAGTTGTTTAGTTAAAATGGTAAATAAAAAATGTGGGTTGAATTAATTCTCGCGTGATCTAGGGCTTTCTAAATGTGGCCTTGTCCGTTATTTATAAACATAGCTCTGACCAAACACTCAGACTCAGGCTTTTTATGGACTCTATGCCTCAAATTACAGTAGACCTTATAAACAATCGAAATTAAAAAGGGCACATTAATACTCTAAGCTATGTGGACGGTAAAATGCAAGTTAAAAAGAGACCGCTAACCTCTTATTTTTAGAAAAAGAAAATAATGTAAATACTACGTATTTTATAAGCTGTAGTTTCTGTTTATAAGTGTACGGCAATTTTAACATAAATTACATGCCTTGAAAGGAGAAAAAACTAAAGCTTGCTTAATTTTGATGTATTGGTAATACAACTTTCCCATTATTATATCAAATCATGGCTTTTCAGAGTAATGCAATAGACTCTCATGTATGTGTCAAAGTTGAAGTCAATTATTTGAATAAAATGGATTATAGTTTAACCAAGCAACCGTCAGAGTGTGCTTCTGTCAGTTGGTGATTTCTGCCGAATATTCGAACTGTTTAACCAAGCCAAAGTGTACATAGAAACTATATATTATAGTAACTTAATATAATAAAATTATTTTTAAACGTAGAGTACTATTTCAGTGGTGGATTATTTTATCCTAATTGAATAAAAGAAATTAGCTAAAGTTTATCCATATAGTTAGAAGTGTGTTAAAATGGTAAGATATACAAATAAACTTTAATAAATGACAAAACAGTAACCCTCGGTTTGACAATCCCTACTCAATTACTGTGAAATAGAATAACGGGGGATCATGCTTGAATTGTCTTAGTAAAGTTAACCTAATTGAGATACTTGAGCTTCCACTATTGGGCACACAGATTCAATTACCACAAAATGTTAACGGACTCGTTACTCTGAAATACTTTAGACAATTCAATTTTTTATCACACCGTACACAGTAGTTATTTTCGATGACAGCTGTCAAAAACTACTGTTTCCCAATATCTTAATTTAGAGAAAGGTGTAAACAAAAATCTGGATTCTACCATTATATATAGATGATTCTTCATGCATATTTTATAAGTAACTAATGATTCACATAGTTCAAACTAAAACGTTGGAATCATCTAAAGTATTTAATTTGTTCACATAAATGTGTATAATAGTATTGCACACTCACACTTTTAAACATACATATATGTAGGTCTATTGTAACTACATCCCTAAAAGTATTTTATTTGAAGTCTGACCCCTCTCCTATTGCAGAGTAAGGTTTTTACAGCCTTCACATAAAATCTGGTAGGTTTGGATCTCTTATTAAACAGAAGCGTATCCCTTGATAGAATAGTTTTGTATATGTAGTAACCTATTACATATAACATATTTATATTTATCGAAAAGACATACATATTTACAGCTGATAATATGAAATCCTATTAGTGTCATGGGTATTGTTATATCGTTGACTATTGGATACTGAAGTAGTAAATAGTCAAAGGTCATATTTAACAAGACAGCAAAACGTGTTTAAAGGTTTCGAATAATACGTGCAACAAATAGTAAACCTTTTAAACCCACTTGGTAGGTTTCTTGAATTGCTGAATAGATGAGACGTTGTGAAGAATTAGAATAAGTCACATAAGAATTGATTATTTCATCGTAATCGGCGTTTTAATGATTTATATTATCTATGACTTCAAACTTACAGCTTAAGATTACGCATTAAATAAAATAGCAGCTCATATGCGTGTTGTATGTGGATTTGCCGATAAAAAAATTAACGTTGAATATAATGTTCGATTTCCTTGTTTAAAGTTCGTTGTTGGTAATATTGAGTTTACCAAAGTGAAAAAATACTGCCCAAAAATAACTGATCAACAATGTCAGAGACAAAGAACTTATTTTTTTACACGCTTCTTGAATATATAAAACACAAGTACGAAAATGTGGGCAACCTATGCATTAACATAATATACTTGTGCCAACTTCTTAGGCTACGTAAAACATTCACCTTTTCAGTATGAAGGTTATGACTAAGAAATTGTTACTACTGCGTTTACTATAATACTTTTTAGAACTTCGTTATACAGGGTGAATAAAAAGTCAAGACCCCCCCCCCCTCTTATATTTTGTCAAGTAAATATACAGAGATAACCTTTTGGTGGTCGTGCAATCTTAGCATGAAGTTTCATTTTATGGTTTTGAAAATTTTGAGTGTTCCCCAAAAGGGGGGATTTGGGGGGCAACTAAACACTTTTCAATGTAAACCCCCTCAAGTGACACTTCGTTTTGAAGTGTTTACAAAACTTAAAGAATAGTGAACCCAGAGTTCACTATCTCTTCTCTATCCAAAATGGTAGCCAATATTACCATTAAGAACCAATTTTAACCATTGATTTTCCACAAAATTTGACAGGCTACCATTTTAAATACAGAAGAGATAGCGACCTCTCGTTTTCACTATACTCTAACTTTTTGTAACCACTTCAAAATGAGTAGTCACTTGAAGGGGGTTTAAGTTTAAAATATTTTTAGGTACCACCCAAATCTCCCCTTTTGGGAGGACACTCAAATATTTCAAAATCATAAAATGAAACTTCCTGCTAAGATCGCACGACCACCAAAAGGATATCTCTGTATGTTTACTTGGAAAAATATTAGAGGGGGGGTCTTGACTTTTTATTCACCCAGTATATATTTTTACATATTTAAAGGTTCGTGTATAAAGACATTTACAAACAATCCATAACTGGTAAATTTAGAATATTCTTTTTACGGTCAAGTAGTTTAACGTTAATAATCACATTTAAAGTATTCTATTTACACGCTGGGATCTATTTATACAGATTTGCCACTAATTATCTAACAAAAGTTATACTTATTCAAAGAGGTCGACTACACAAACATTGTTCACAATGTTTTGACACAGATATTCATTAGTCGCAGATTGTATAATTACATGGATAGCTAGGCCTTCATGTACTCTCCAAATTGATAGAGTTATTCGCTGGGGACGAGACGACCTCCCATGAAGTATTTAACTTTGTTTACTTCGTTGAAAATAATCAGACGCCAGGATCTGAACTGTTGCAAAATATATTTGCCACAGAGCATTCATTGACAATGGTTATTTGTATGTTTTACTAAGCTTTGCCCTGGGATTGGATGTTCACATTATTTCAGGAGAGGTTTAAATTTTGGAACATTTTTTATTAGATTTTTATATAATTGGTTTGGTGAGTTTTTAAACCCTAGACCTCCCTGATGACTAAGCAAATTTTCATTTACCTGGCTAGAATTCCACTAAAATATTACCTTAAAAAATAATCATTTTATATTTCATTTTGATTACTCTTGTAAACACTATTTTTCTTGCTTAATTCAACAATGTTATTGGAAAAGCTGATTCGTAGCATTGTTGTAATAGCTATTTACTT